CACGTCGTTAATATTTACATTATCAGCAATATGCTGACATTATTATATTTGAGTACATGTTCTTTAAATAATGTCACATAAAGCTTCTCAAAAACTCAACCGTTTCAACGAAAACTAGCTCAAAATTTCGCTATTTCAGAAACACTCAAAAGCCATTTTCTCAAAAACGGCTCCAATTTTTTCTTAAAACTTTCCGAATGCATGGTGCTGACTGCACTATTTAAATTACGGTAAGTTAATTTCGGGGTATTGTTTGTTTTTTAAAAATTACACAAATGTATTTTGTTCTAATATCTCTCACGTCGGTAATATGCCCATTGTAAACACTATTGTATTTGTGAGTTAATGTGCTTCAAGAGACTTAAAGAAAGGAGAAAAAAGAGTTGTCAAAAAGAACACCGAGGTTTATGAATATGGCTTTTGCGTCTGGTTTTCAACAAACTTGTATTGTTATAACATTTAAAAAAAATATGCAAGTGTTTCGGAAACATAGATATTTACCCCGTATAAGGTATATATGGGCGAGAAAGGAATTGTATCTGTCCACCCTTTTTCCAAGATTACAACTTCAAAACGACTAAAAGAGTTTGGAGAAATCACATTGACTGAATGGAATTTTAACACCTCAATGATTGCGAGCATAAAGGTAGAAGAGTATTCTCTTCGACTTGTGTTTTTATTTCCATGTGTCAACTTTTCGGTGTCAACGGATACGATTCCGCTTGTCATTAGGGCACCTCCCAGATGTCATGGGACTTCCAATTTTACTTGCTAGTCCTCCATTGATATCTTTTTGAAATTCTTAAATTATTTCATCAATCATGTAAAATCAAATTTAAAATCATAATGTAAAATCAAATGTAAAACCACAGTGTAAAATCAATGCATTTTAATTTTAAATAATAATGAAACATATATCCATCAAAGCTATCAACATAGCTAGAAATAATCGCATAGTCATGTTAACAACATCGACGAACTTTTCATAAACTACACTCCTTGACAGGGCGGGTCTTTGGACTACTGAAGACGTATTGCTTCATTCTTGTAAGAGTTACTTTCTGACAATCCCAGGGACACAATTGAGTATTTATGATGTACCTCGAATTTGTGGGAGGCCTTATCATTTGGCATTTACCCCTTTAAATATAATTGCTAGATTTTTTTCTTCTGGTCTGTGAAATTTTAACCAACATGTCTTTTCTGAACATGAATACTTTGTTAGTTTAGTCGCTGAAAGGCCCAACGCTGAATGTAGTTTCACTTCTGAAAATGATCTATGAAATGCCTCTTCATATGCACCTACAGTTTTTAATGAGCTTAGTCATAATGAATAATCTATTGACACTGGTTTTTGTGCTGTCCCTTCTAGTTCAATTATTTCTACCTCTCAGTACAAGTCTATGATAGTTGCAATGCCAAATTCTTGAGAATAAATCAGACCATTTTCAAAAAACGAGCAAAAACAAATAGCAAACAAGGGCACGAAATATGTTAGGTCTAGAATCCTGACCGAAATGCCTAAAAAACAAATAGCAGATGCTGAGAAAAGCAAAAAGAAATTTGGATGAAAGAGAATTGGGAAACAAAATAAAGACTCATTGATAATGGTCCAGAGCAAACACCAGAAAACAATAGGCATTCTGCGGTCGGAAAATTAGGCGGAAAATCCGTGAAAAAGAGCTTGAAGTTTTGCATTTTTGTGACTGCTTAAACATATTCTTAAAAACGCTTCCATATTTTCCAATGAAAATGTTCATTAAGATCAGATTTTACCCTTCTATAATATTCTTATAATCTTAAATAGCATTTAATTCCAAACTGGCAATTAACTAGCAATTAATTAGAAATAAACCACTTAACCGTTTCCGCGGAAATACGATCAGAATTTAACATGTGTGTGTATGTGTGTGTGTGTGTGTGTGTGTGTGTGTGTGTGTGTGTGTGCTGGCATTGCATCAAATCAACTCGCATCCATTTTCCCAATTTTGCCCCCATTTTCCCAAATATGTGGCAATTAATTCGACATTGTGGCTATTAATTAGCAGTAAATTATTTAACATTTTATTCGGGTGTGATGCCACGGCTGTTCCAGCTTGTGTATACCATGTTTTTCAGACAACCGCAGTGGATTGTTGTCTGCGTTCCTAGTGTACTAAGAACCAAAAATCGTATAGCCATCTACCGATTCCGTGTGCGTTATAAAGACACCCCTACATTTGCTACAGAGATCGTAATTGGTGTTCACGTGACAATATCGGGGTCCGCTTATTTTTAAGCGTCGATGTGCAAAACCTCTCTGTTGTCTTCGGTGTGGGTGGCAGGGAGTGGACGCAGGCAAGCGCCGCGAGCAGCTGCGACAGCAGCAGCGGCTAGTTCGACGTCGCGGCGGCCGGGAGGCCTATTGTCCTCGCACATTGACCTCAGGCGGAAATAACAGCGACAAAGCGTGTTCAATACGCGATCGATACTCACGCTTAGGCTCGCGAACACTTATTTAGCGCTTCCAGAGAGAACTTCTAGCTGCGCGTATGTGGTGCTTTCTCGTTGATAACTGCTGTGACGAAACGTTCTTCTTTCGTGCTGGCATTGTACCGGGTGTACAGTTTATCACTCGCCGAGGATTTGCGCTGCATCGCCCAGGAAGTCGATGGCTCACTGGCCCAGCGAAGCGTGACTCAACTCCCGTGCTGATAAACGGAATCTTTCGCTGTGCTTAATGCTGAAAGAGGTGTTCCTCGGTTCGAATGCTTTCTTGGCACCTCCGAAACAGATTCTGATTTACCCTTTGAAGTATGTCTCGAAGAATTTCTGCGCTTTTTTCTTCATAGAGCGTCGGATCTTTTATTCCAATTTCCCCGGATTTTTCCATAACCTGATATTTTAAGTACCCCAGAGAAATAATACACAAGGGGTAAGATCAGGCTCCAGCACATAACTAATTATTCGATCGTCACTATAAATAGTTTCTAAAAAATAACGGATCGAACAGCGGTGTGAGCAGTAACCGAATCCTGTTGAAAGTAACCATGGAGCCTTTCTTCTGGTGTCAATTATCTGTAGAATTATTGCCGTAGAATAATCGAGTCGAAGGACAGAACTTTCAGCATCTTCTTTAAATGAAGTTAAGCGTAGCGATAGTTTCCGTATGTCAGCACGGGAGTTGCGTCAGCGCTTCGCTGGGTGAGCGAGTACTCGACACTCCGGGTGCCAAATCTTCGGCGAATGATGAAATGTACAACAGGTAAATGCTGTGCGGCGGCAGCGGTGGCGGCCGGCGGTCACGTCTTAAGTCTCACAAATTGGCGGCGGACCTGTCCGGAGCACAGCTCGCCACCGTTCGCTCTCGTAATCAACATACTTTCATCTGCTTGGGGAGAGGTTCCTGAAGACACGTGAGGTGTGAACCTGATTCGTTCTGGATCGAGTGTCACTGCGAGGGAGGTCAGCAATCCAATAATAATCAGAGCCCGTTTAGTAAAAATTTAAATTGTGACAGTTTGCGGACGATCTCCTGGCAACGCGGCTTGCCTGCAGCATATGTTTTTTTAATATGTAATTATTTCACATTCGAATTAAATAACGTGGTGGCTAGGCTGAGGGTCGTTAATCAATTACAATATATACATCCTATCGTGTTCTAAGCCTTTCGAATTCTGGTATTCACTCCATATGGTCGCGTCATCGCATCAAAGTTGTGGAAAAGGGACCGTAAGGTACGGCTGAGGAGTAAACTCCTGAATGGGAAAAACCTTCTCTCAGAAACCGAGTGCATGCTAATCTACCAGTCTTTTTCTAAACTATTAATTTATTTCCTGGCGTGAGCGCAACGCATTCTCCTTCTAGTTTTTGGCCTCCTCAGCACTTGAAATCAAACAGCGCCGCAGAAGATCGTCCTCACCAACGCCTCTGCACTTACGTTTAGGCCACTGACTTCTCTTTTCTGCTAATGTACTTATTTCATTATTCAACAGTTTCATTTTTTTAACTTTATTTATTTATTTTTCAGTTTCTCAGTAGAAGTTTCCCGCGTAATGCTATCGGCATAGATTTTCTCTCAATCGTTTTTTTCACATCTGGTTTTGTAAAGGAAAAAGCAAGATCCTTTAGAAATTCCTTTCTAGTCATTCTTTCTCCACGGTTTTTATTTGCATAACCATTCAGAGCATCAATTGTATCAATATCAATAATGTCAGCTTAGGTCAGAAACTCAACTGCGAGCGCTCTCTTAGACTACTATTGTAATCCAAGCTGTTTCCGGCGCTTATCACTTGTGCAACAGTTATCACTCGAGTCATTTCTCGCTATAGTTCAATAGTGTGGCGTCTTTGCCGGGGCAATAAATCACAGACGTGAACGGTTTGTAAATTATTAAGTATTTATTTGAAAAAAATTCTCCAAACCTGAATACTATGTACAATAATTACAATAAACAATATTGACCCGTTACTAGAAGGAATGTTCCTGATCACTACCGCTGGCCTGATAATTAGATATCTTATTCTGTGTGATGCACCAGTAGCCTACGTGAACATACAAGCGAGTATGCCGCACCTCCCGTCTCGACGTAGCACGCCGGCTACAGTTCCCTTCCTCAGTAGCCTATGCATTAAAAAGCACAACCCCCACGACTTCCTACCGACGCGCCCAAGAATCAGAAGGGGTTTAAGTCCGGGGTGCGTTTATATTACCTTCTGAGCCATCTCACGGAACTGCGTCATCTCACTGTTTCCGCCGACGCGTTTCCACAGCCAGCCTGTCTCCGGGTTCACAAATTTGCCCCAAGTGGTCTACGGGGCACTGAGCATGAAATTCACGTGGCTAATATATTGTCACGTTTGTGCAAGGCGACTGATATGATGCCACAATAGCTAAGGTCTTCTACGAAAGGTACTGAAAAGTACAACCTCTTGCTGCAAACAACGATTGAACAAGACTGGATTACAATAGTAGTCTGCGCGGCCAGTCCAGGGCTAAGCAATGCCTGCGTGTTGTTGCAGCTCTGCGCGCGGTGCTGGTGGCCGTGACGGTGTTCTACGCGCTGCAGGCCGCCGTCAACGTGCTGCTGCTGTTCGGCGCCATGCAGGTGCTGCCACCAACGCTCGCGCCAGCACTACTTGCACATTTGAGAAACACACTCTGTTTTTATAAAGTAACGTAATACGATATAGAGGCAGTAATTCAGTTCAAATACAAGCAAAAAGTCCACTAATTAAGTATCAGATAAAAAAGCCACCAACGCTCGCGCCGACACTACGTGCACATTTGAGAAAAACACTCTGTTTTCTTTATCAAGTAACGTAGCACGATTTAGAGGAAGTAATCCAGTTCAAATACAAGCAAAAAGCCCACTAATTAAGTATCAGATAAAAAAGTCACCAACGCTCAGGCCAACACTACGTGCTCATTTCAGAAAAACACTCTGTTTTTTATCAAGTTACCTAACACGATTTAGAGGCAGTAATCCAGTTCAAATACAAGCAAAAAGTCCACTAATTAAGTATCGGATAATAAAGTCATCAACGCTCAGGCCAACACTACGTGCAAAATTCTGTTTTTTATCAAGTAACGTAACACGATTTAGAGGCAGTAATTTAGTTCAAATAGAAGCAAAAAAGCCACTAATTAAGTATCAGATAAAAAAGTCACCAACGCTCACGTCAACACTACGTGCACGTTTTAGAGGAAGTAACGTAACACGATTTAGAGGAAGTAATCCAGTTTAAAAGATAAAAAAAAGCTTTTTGTCGAAACATTGCCGTTTTGCTGAAGCTTTAATACTTTTACAAAATGTATTAGAACTTTGACATATTACAAATTCTATGAAGTGCTACACAAAAATGCATGTATTACGCCTTTAAACAAATATAGTCAAACTTTTACTGGTTATACGAGGAATTACTACGTTTACGAGGAAGTAAAAATACGCAACGTTCGAATTTTGTCGGATACTTTGGTCGCAGTTTTCGTGATTGGCTAATTCAAAAAAATATTTAGCAATAAAATACATTTTTCATAGAATAATAGAACATGAAGTTTTAATTATTCTTCACATAGTTTAATTGCGAAGGTTCTAGGAATAATATGTTTGCCCATTTTCAGGCCACAAAAATGTAACAGCAAACTTTTCCCGAAAACTGAAATATATACAATGCTAATGACGTTAGAATAGGATTAAAAATATAATAGAATAGTTGCAGTCTATGGAAAACAATATGTGTATTTTAAAAATCACGAAGGTAAGTAATAAATTAAAATAACCATAACCACCAGCCTGTGCACAAGCACTTTCATCATGGTGGTCGCATATGTTACCAGGAGAAGGGGAAATGCGAAGAGAAAAAGACTTCAAAATACTGTTAAATGAAAATTCCCTTTCTCCCACCTCCTAACGATCTCGACCCATCGTTTCTCCCGTTCAATGGCAACTGATCCACTTTCGGAGACCGCCATAGTGAAATTGGGCTGGTGTTTGTGGTTACTTTAATTTTTGTATTTCTAAAATTAGTGAATCTTTACATATTGTTTCATATCGAGTGTTAATATTTTATTAATTTTTTCTCATTTTTGCATCGTAAGTAACATTTTATTTAGCTCAGTGTTTTTGCTGCTGTTTTCTACGTAATCTAAATAGGGGAAATGATTACTCCTGGAATTGTCTCAATAAAAAAATGAAAAGTAGAATGAAAATTTCAAATTTTATTAATTTAAGAAGTGGATAAACACTATTATGTTTTGTAGAAATACATAATCAAAATTTTATGAAAAACGGCTCCATATTATTACTCGAACAGAACAATGTTTGCTTATTTAAATAGCGTTGATCCTGTTTTAATTTAATGATCTTTCAAAGTCTAGAAAAATCCAACTTTTTTTTCCTCGTGTTGATTTATCGTCATCAGCTAGGTGCTCAAGGGGAAAAGTTAATTGCTTGAAGAACTAACCCGGGTAAATAATTTTTAGAAACACTCTTGCAGGTTCATGCAGTACATTTTATGAAACCGGTACAAATAACCGGGAACGCATGTGTTTAGATTTTAGATCCATCCTCTAACCCGCAATGTTTCCCGTCTCGTGCCCAGGAGAACGCCTGCCTGCTCTACCCCTGGATCACCGTCTACTCGTTCGTGGTGATCATCAACCTGATGGTGTGCGCGGTGGTGCCCGCCACCTTCTTCAGCCACGGCTTCTCCCTCGACGGCGTCTTCGCCATCCTGGGCAGCATCCTCAACATCGGTGAGAGCTGCCGCGCACCCACACCCCTCCACGTTGCCGTTTGCGTCGTCCCCCGCGCCTTCTCCGGACACGAAACGCCGCTTCACGAAAGCCCGAAACGAACGCGAACGCAAAGAAAGTTGAAAGACGGACACGGACGTCACAGCAGGCGTTCACAATACGGCGGGAACGCGAAGCTTGACGGGAACGGGAAAGATGGTCAACATTTGTCTTGTCTTAAGAACGGGAAGCCTCTCGAGCAACTGAAGTACACCAAATGGCGGCGAATCTTTCCAGCTGGTCAAGCGCGCGACCTGTGCGCAGAATTGGTCTGCAAAGAAACTGAGTGTGAACGGAAAGATGTAACGGTTAGCGTATTGGACTGTTATACCCAAGTTGGCGGCTTCAAACCCGATCGAAGCCGTCGATTTTAAGGGCGAGAAAATCCTTCCTACGCCTCGAACGCCTTCCTTCGGAGGGGCAGTAAAGCCGGCTGCCCCCTGTTAGTAGATTTACTTACATGTAAAAGATCCTCAAGCGTAAATGACGCCTCTGAGCTAAATTCAAATCGCATGTTTCTCGCTCAAGAAGTACCTCCTTTCTCTGCTAGTTGGTGAAAGGAACGTAGCAAAATTTGTGTGATCAGGCGGAAGAGCGGACTTGATGGCTTGAGTCTCGCCACGTAAAATGAGGCATTAATTCAATAATCCAATTCAATAGTGCGATATTGAGGTAGCAACGCGATGTTAAAGTTAGAGGTGGGTTTTGTTAGTCATGGTTGAATAGTTTTATATATTTTTAGTAATTATAGTAATTATTTCTCTATTCATATTTATAATCATAATTATATTCACAATAACTTTTATATTTTTCGTTAAAGTACATTGGAGTTGTTTTTATTGTTTTTTTTGTTTTTTTGTTGTTTTTTTGTAAAATATTAGTTTTATTTTTCGCACGTTCGTAGTAGTTTTGGCATCATTTTCATTCCTATTATTTTATATTATTTCGTTATTTTATATTATTTCGTTATTTTATATTATTTATATATATTTAATATTATTTCGTTCAAATATTTTTAGTATTGATAGTAGCCCACGCAAACACAAGAGAGAGATGGCTAATCAAAGAGTGGACAAAGCAGCGTAGCTAGAAGTATATTAGTTTCGGCAAATGTTTCTTGAAGTTCTCTTTCTTGTCGGTACAGGTTCACAGCGCTATTCCTCTTCCCGTTAGCGTTTATTCTGAAGAGCACGTGTCCAGCTTTTCCGTTCCAGTCATCGCCTTCGCGCCGCCTTTCCCGTTTGCGGTCTATTGCGCAGCGACCTAGAACAACCACTTCTCGAAAGTGGAGTTTCGGAGTTTGCCATTTTTCTTTCACGGAATAGAGAGGGACGTTTTCTTCTTGTTTAACAGTAATGTTAAAGTTCATTATGAAATTGTTTGGAATATCTTTACTTCCTTCATACTCAAATAAACTGTTTACAATGGTGAGCACCAAATTTTCCAGCTTCCCACTCACACACTAGAACGTCACCGCGATTGTCAAAAGTCACTCCGATTGAATGAAAACAAGTTAGTATGGCTAAAATATTACTTCTTTATAGTATTTTTATTTTTCCTGCCTTGTGCATATTGTGAAACCATCTCAGAGGGGGTTGCCAACTCCCATGTAATAGTTGGTTGTTACCAGGACACATTTGGATACTTCCAGGTCGCATACATACTTTGTTTGAATAAACTTGTCTTGTAAATGAAAAGAAAACATACATCAATTGAGAACTTCAGCCTTCAACTGTAGAAATATTATATTTATAAGAAGTTATACCTTAATAAAATATTAAGTGCAGATTTTAAAATGTTGAAATTTTCCCATCATTATCAATAACCTTTTCCCTTCTAAATACTCGCTATTGAATCGGTACCTCTTTGTTACAAACAAAAATAGGGCCATTAATTACTCACAAACATTACAAATTTGCCAAAGCAATTTCATGTCAACAAATTTAGTGCTAAAACAAAATTATTTTAAATCATTATGGTACTCGGAAAAAAAGAAGTGGCTGTCTCACAATGAATTACAGTTCTACCTACCATAATTCGTAGTAAACTCTGGCTCAACTATTGACTCTGCAAATATCTGAACCTAGGTAGTTGTTCAGTTTGTGGTTGACTCTCTAGAGACTTTGGTGAGTACTTCTACTACTCAAATTTTGAAGCTACAGTTATTAAACAATTGTTCATACCAACAATGGATTTTTCATCAACATATGTCTGTTTATACCACTTTCCACGGTGATTTGTTTTATACTCGTATACCTGTGTGTAAAGAGATGATTTTTTGGAACAGACATTGTCTAAGGCAAATTTTCATCTTCAATTCGGTACTTTAAAAATGTTAACTTTTCGTAATTTTCGAAAATACTGAGAATTAGTCGAAAATGGAACTAGCACAATATTTTTACTGTCGTTTGATACGTTCGAGGAGAAAACACAAAGAAAAATGGGTGCCTTTTGAGAGAAAAAATTATTTTATTGTCTATTTTCCGCGCAAAATTAAGCAAAAACTACTCATAGGTTCAAAACATTGTACATAAAAATGTCTTTAAATAACAGATTTCATCTCTTTCTTTAATATTACGGTTGTATAAAGATGCCCAAAAAATTGCACTTTTGCAATTTACGAAAAGGGGCATTTAACGAACATGAAATCTGCACCATTCTCTAAAGTGTCCTTTACGCTATCAGAGGGCAAAGTTTAATCGAAAAATTTGGAGCTGTTTTTGAGAAAATTTTGAGTCTTCATCTAAAGTACCCTCAAAAAAGGAAATATCCTTTTGAAACTCGCAAAGCCTCCAGTTCGTTGAGATCGATTGGGGAATCAATTTTAGAGAAAATCTGCTGAACGGTTTCGGCGCTAGCTTTGATTATAGATGGGTGGAGAGATGTTTTGCTGTAAACCGATTCGTCGGTGTCAAGAACCCACAAAACATGAATTCTGGTTACACCATGTGTTAGATTTTTTCTGTATTTAGCAACAGGATTTATTCCCTTTTTCGTTACAAGGAGCCTGCAATAATAGTTTTTCTGCATAATTCGTGAATTTCCGGCGCACGAATAAATAACTTTTTCTTCTTACGAAGTACCTTCGAGAGGGGGAAATTTTACCTCATTGATATTCAATGAGAAATATTGCTAACATCAAATATCTAGAATTACTAATTTTATTTTTGTTAGCGACAGATCTGAAAGTACAAATTTGATGTATTCGTATTTAGGCAGAGGGCTTAAAATAATCCTACAAACATTTAAAAACTATTAATTAATACACAATATCTTCCAATAAAGAAAGACTCTTGATTAATTGGATTCACTTAATATATTGTACACTGATACCACTTTGCTACATTGGTAGAGGATGTTGTTATTTGATATTTAAATATGAATGTGAACAAGTAGAATCAAATAAATAGTAGTAAATTAATTTACTGTGTTTCATACAAGGAGATGATAAGAATTAATGAAGTTTTTTTAAAGAGGCTCAGTTACCTGCAATTCTTAAAATCTCTCGTCTAGAAATCAGACGTTGATGGCTAGTGACTGTTTAGGGGAGTAATGATATTGTTATCTTTAGTATACCTTACCTGGTGTCTCTCAGGGATATATTTTTGAAGTTCTTAATAAGTTAATTAGTTTTCCGGGCCCGTCAACTGCTAAGGTCATTAATCTCGTATGTGTGTATAATGTTTTAATGAGTTAACAGTGATATTCCCTCGTTGGATGCCCCCCAATGAATGGTTGGAGGGTTACCCCAACCAGGTATCTCCCACCAGTTGGGTACCACCGCAGGTGGGACAATGGGTCCATTCCGCCGACACCATGCAGATAACACCGACGCCACGCTTCCGATAAACGCCGCTGCACGCCGTGGCAGGGGAAGAGTTCGGGTGTCCGACGCATCGACGTGACGACGAACAAAGGGACGCAGGTAAAGCGACGCGACACCGAAAATTGATCCCAGTGGGAAGACCTCCATTTAAAGCAGTGTTCTACTTCCGGTGGTGCGTACATGCTTCCGCGTTGCTAGTGGTGGAAGTCCACAGCAGTGGGAAGACCTCCATTTAAACCAATGATCTACCAGCTGCGTCATGACGAAGCCCTTCTGCGTAGCTGCGTGGCGCGGAAAGACGTGGCTCTAAGTTCACGTCTGACATGTGTGATAGTGTAGTGCGTGTGAATCTGTTAATAAGGAGAAATAATAGGACAAGGAAGAGAAAGGAAAGATCGCGAACGGCCCTTCGTCCTTTTGTTAGGCTGATGCTCCGTTATTCGCCTGGTGCTGATCGGAGAAACCACAAAAATCTACCTATCACAGAAGCCGGCCGCTAGTAGTTTCCCCTAGACATTGGCTGAACTCGACCTAGCTTTCTCACTAGTGTCGGAAGTCCTCCCACCATAGCGAAGACATTGCATCTCTATATGAATAAAATAAACATTTGTGGAGAAATTCTATTTAAGTTTGTCATCTTCGGATATAGTGAACCTTCGATACAGTGAACCAAAATTGTTTGTCCCCAGAATTTCACTCTACTAGCAGTCAAACTTGGAACCGGAGTAATGGAATTTTGAAATATAGATGGGGGACAGTAAATGTGAAAATAGTCAAGAATCATGCGGGTTGTCCGCGTAGACGGTGAGAGATAACCGAGATTTTTGGAATGTTACGACTGTGGCATAGCGTTTACGTTCGGCTATGCTGCGAGTAATGCCGTTGTTGTTGCACCTCTAGAAGAGAGTGATTGCAACTTTCGAGAGGTGATTAACGGCGCTTTTTGTTCTCGAACATTTAGTCGTAAGAGCTACGTCAGGTCCAGGTCCACGGTCCAGGTCCAGATAAGTACCCCGAAATGAAAAGAAAGATGGGGCGGTCGTAGGGAGAAGGGCCCCGTGGGGCACACCGGAGTCGATCTCTTTTGTTGTGGATAACTGGGAGTGAGATTTAACTTCGAAGGTTCTTTCGGTAAGAGACCTGGCTAGTATGTTATAAAAATAGGGAAGGAGGAGGTGTTGGCATTTTTGAAGAAGAAGTTCGTGATTGACTTTGTCAAAGGCGTAAGAGGAATCAAAAAAAATATCGCTGGAAGGAAACATCTAAGGGTGAGAGACGAGGTACCTTCCATTGCTAGTCAAAAGGTTTGTTATGCTGATGAGTGGCCCTTCTAGAATCCGGATTGCGTTAAGCGGGTTGCATTTGCCTCATCTAATTTTTCTCTAGCTCACTGGCTCACTGGAGAAAAAGTCTTGCAAATACTTTGGAAACGTACGATAGTAAGTTTATAGGCCTATAATTTTTCGGATCGCGGTTGTTTTTGCTAGGTTTGCAGATTAATTTTTTTATTGCTGCTTTCAAGGGATTCGGAAAGTATTCTACAGTGATACTTTACGTTTTATATCTACAGTCAATTTCTGATTGCGCTCTTCGATAGTTCTTAAGCATATTCCCTCTCATTTTGTCGGAGCCACAAGCTTTCTTGGTAATGATAATTTTAAGCTGTTCTGTGAGATCTTCTTCACTGATGATGACTTTTGGAGGTTTATAAAAAGGATTTTCCTCTTTGCCGAGCTAATGTTGCATTGTGAGAGCCCCAGTCTGCATGTTACGGCGTGGAGCAAGGGTTGGCGGAAAATCCGTTGCAGGCGGTGTTGTACGTCTCTGTCCCATTTGTTTTGTCGACTGCTATCACTGGTACTGCGGAGTGTCTGACCGGCCTAAGTGGCTCAGGGCATCAATTGGTGTCTCTGCTGTGACTCGCACCGGGAGGTCCTAGGGTTCGATTCCCAACGGTGGCAGGATTTTGGATACTATCTACATAGCTAAGTCGAGATCAGCCGCTGACTGGAGGAGAATTCTAGCAGCTGGCTGCTGTGAAAGGTAGTTTTCCGTGGTTTCTTCGATCAACGCCAGACGAATGCCGGAGCAGTCCCCTAACAAACAGACCAAGGACCGCGCACAATATTTCCTTCCTCTTTCTTGTCCTTTTCTCCCTTCCCTTAAAATCACATACACTTACGTGTGCTAGACTACTGCACATGTCGAGAGACCAGTTGGGAACTTAGAGATGGTCCTGGCTGGGGCGGTGCAACGATGATGGGAGATACCTGGTTGGAAAAAAATCGCCATATGCCAAAGTAGGTCGGCGCCGGATTTCGCCATCCAGCGTGAGAAAATAACTGCC